AGATTATACTGTATGATGTTTATAAACTTTTCTCCATGTCATAAAAAATCTTTGGAAACTTCATTTAAAATGTCTGTGTTAGGGTTGGATGAGGTGGCTCATGCCTGTAATCCCAATATCCCAATACTTTGGGAGGCTAAGGAGGGAGGACTGCTTGAGGCCATGAGTTCAAGACCAGCCTGGGCAACATAGCAAGACTCTATCTGTATAAAACAAAAAAAAAATTAGTAAGGCATGGTGGCATGCAGCTGCAGTCCCAGCTACTTGGGAGGCTGAGGGAAGATAACTTGAGCCTACAAGTTCAAGGTTGCAGTGAGCTATGATTACATCACTACACTCTGGTCTGGGCAACAGAACAGGACCTTGACTCAAATAAATAAATAAATAAATAAATATCTGTATTAGATACCATTTTACAGACTGACTGTTTTTGGATATTGGAGCTATTTTCTGTTTCCATTAGTGGCTTGACGAGAATGCTTGCAAATAAATCTTCACCACTCCCATCCCCATAGCCTATTCCTTAGCACGGATTTGCAGAAATGGCATTTTTGGATCAAAGGATCTGAATATTTTTTGAGACAGGGCTATCACCTAGGCTGGAGTGCAATGGTGCAATCTCAGCTCATTGCAACCTCAACCTAGGCTCAGGCAATCCTCTCACTTCAGCCTCCCAGGTAGCTAGGACTACAGGTGCATGCACTCGCATCCGGCTAGTTTTTTTATTTTTAGTAGAGATGAGGTTTCGCCATATTGCCCAGGTTGGTCTCGATCTCCTGGGCTCAAGTGATCTGCCCACCTCAGCCTCCCAGTGTTAGGATTACAGGTGTGAGCCACCACACCCAGCCGGGTCTGAGTATTTTATTTTTATTTTGTATTTCTCAGAGACAGTGTCTCGTTGTGTTGCCCAGGCTGCCATGCAGTGGCATGGTCTCAGCCCACTGCAACCTTTGCCTCTCGGGTTCAAGCGATTCTCCTGCCTCAGCCTCCTGAGTAATTGGGATTACAGGTACCGCCACAACACCCAGCTAATTTTTTTTTTATTTTTTTTCCCCCTGGAGACAGAGTCCTGCCCTGTCACCCAGAGCGGGAGTGCAATGCTGTGATACCAGCTCACAGCAACCTCCACCTCCTGGGTTCAAGCAATTCTCCTTCCTCAGCCTCCCAAGTAGCTGGGATTATAGGCGCAGGTCACCACACCTGGCTAACTTTTTATTTTTAGTAGAGACGGGGTTTCTCCATGTTGACCAGGCTGGTCTCCAACTCCTGACCTCATGATCCACCCCGACTTGGCCTCCCAAAGTGCTGGGATTACAGGCATGAGCTACTGCGTCCAGCCTGGACTATTTTAGACACCCTCTTTAGATGTACCCATCCTGCTATGATTGGTAAGAAGAGGTAGAGGCAGCCTGTGGCCCCTGATCTGAGTGTGCCTGTCCTTCCTGCTGATAAGTAGTAAGGTCCTGCCCAGCCTGTTTGCTCTAGGCCATGGCTTTGCCCCAGTTCCTGAGCAAATCTGGGTATTACTCATCTTTGAAGCAGGGTGTAGAAGCAGGTGGGGACAGTGTGGGAGGCCACGGGATGGAGGTGGATGGCCCAGACCCAGCTTTGCAAAGCCAGTCAGCACCAGCTTGGTGAGTTTTGCCAGCCAGCCTCCATCTATTCACCTGTAAAGGATACTGGCAACCCCTGGGTGGCATGAGACCAGGGATGTGTAAACACTGCCATGTGAGTGTCCATGGGAGGTCACAAGCATTAAATAGGTAAAGGTAAGCAACCCTGGGGCTTGATGTGCAAACACAAGGAGGAAAAAACCCATTTTCCCTTAGAGTGGCTCCTTGGCTCAGTATCTGCATCAGGCTGGGGGATTTCAGTGAGTGACTAGATTGACTAGATTTTTTTTTTTTGGAGACGGAGTCTTGCTCTGTTACCCAGATGGAGTGCAGTGGTGCGATCTTGGCTCAGTGCAACTTCTGCCTCCCGGGTTCAAGTGATTCTCCTGCCTCAGCCTCCCAAGTAGCTGGGACTATAGGTGCGCGCCACCATGCCTGGCCAGGCTAGTATCGAACTCCTGACCTCAAGTGATCCATCCACCCTGGCCTCCCAAAGTGCTGGGATTACAGGCATGAACCACCATGCTCAGCCCATGACAAGAAGATTCTATCAGGCAATGCAGAAGTTTTGTGTTTTCTAGACAATTGCTTTTTCTCTACATATAGGTTTTATCTGTATAAAAATCTTTATTTTTATTTCAAGTAATTTTTTCAAACTTCCAGATGCAACGTTTGAGTAAAATCTTCACTGAAAGATACAAAGGGTTAATTAATGGTTCATGGCGTCACAAGAGAGTATTTCGGATGTAGGCCTACTTCTGCAAGGCCAGTCTTCTGAGATGACATCTCACACCTGCTGTGTTCACATTGGAAGGAAATAAAAGGCCATTGTTCACCTCATTCCATATTTACAATTATAGCACTTGGTGTAATTATACCTGCTGTGTTATACATCAGGATAGGACAATAAAGATTATATAGTGTGAGGTCAATTTATAAAATATTTCCTTGAACAAAAGGACTATCCTGGAATTTATTTTACAGATGAATTTTTTTTTTTTTTGACAGAATCTCCCTCTGTCACCCAGGCTGGAGTGCGGTGGTTCAGTCTCTCTCCCTGCAACCTCTGCCTCCCGGGTTCAGGCGATTTCCAATTCCAAGTAGCTGGGATTACAGGTGCAGGCCATCACACTTGGCTAATTTTTGTATTTTTAGTAGAGATGAGGTTTCACCATGTTGGCCAGACTGGTCTTGAATTCCTGACCTCAAGTGATCTGCCTGCCTCACCCTCCCAAAGTGCTGGGATTACAGGGGTGAGGCATCGCTAAAACAATTTTAAATAACATGGAGGCCACTCAATCTAATGAGAACTGCCCGACATCTCTCTCAATCTCTCCATTCAGAGAAAGGGATCCAGACTTTCAATGATTTCCATAAAGCAAAACAATAACAAGCCCACTGACTACAAGTCTAACCATCATTCTAGGCTCAAACTGAATCCTTTGAGTTTTACTCTGAATCCTAGCAACTCTTCAATAAGACAGAATTGTTGATTGAATTTTGGGTTTTCTTCGGTACTTTTTATGTGCAACTCTCCATACCTATGACAGAATCTTTCTTGTTTTCCTAAACTTGACTTAGAGGACAGGCCAGGCCCCAATAAGCCTGGTCTCGGGCTCTGAGATCTAGGATCCTCTGTCAGTCACTGAGGTTGGGGAGGGGACTGATGTGGCGCCCTTATGATGTCACCCACACCGTGTCCACTGAGGACCCTGAGTCTTGTCAGCCGTCGGGGACTGAGCCTCCTAGTCCCTGTGAGGAAGGCGGCTGGGTGGGAAGGGCCGCTGCTGTGTCAGCCAAACAGACAATCCTCCCTGTGCGGATGTCAGTCCCTGCTGATGCCACCCACAGGCCGACGGGGAGACGACATGGTTGGAGTGTTTGACATACAAAGCAGCACCTTGTTTTACTGGGGGTAGAAAATAGGAAGTCTGCTCCCTGCCTCACCCCTCTTACGCGTCAAAGCTCAGACGTCAGCGGGACTTGAAGAGTCTCTGCCTGAGCAGTGCGAGTCACAACACCTGGGTTTCCAGCCGCCGGAGTTCCTTGACCACAAGATCAATGTTAATAATTGGGTTAAAGTACAGGGCCCAGTAAAACAAACAGTTGCAAACAAACTGAGGGATGAGGGGCCAGAACATGGCCACAAAAAGCCCCTGCGTTGATACTTTCCAGAAGTGGCTCCACATCCTCTGAGGCACAGTCCTGAAACAAGAAGAGAAGAGGCTGAATCAGAGGCGCTTCTCATGACCACGCCCAGAAGTCCGGCCCCTCGGCCTTTTCTGGGTGCTGGGAAGAGCGTGGCTGCCTGTGCTGAATGTCCTTGTCTTCCGTCCTTGGTGCCTGAGACCTCTGCCTACTCAACCCATCTTTAACTCTCAGGGACATGACCTAGAGGGAGCTTCTTTGTCCCTGCACTGGGCAAAGCCTCCCTGTGACAGCCTCAACTTCACCTGCTTCATCACTTTGTTAACACTTACATAATTTTTTTTTTTCTTTTGAG